ATTTTTTGCCGATTTTTGACACACCACGCCAAAAAGGTTGCCCATCACTGGTCTAGACACTGCACAGGTGAATCTTCATGGGGAACAATGGTTCGATTCTTCTGCACATTACCCGCATCCAAAACAAAGAATGAGGATGTGTTTGTCATTTTTTTATTTCTCATGTCTATGAAAGGAGGGAAAGAAGCTTTTCCTTCTGCCCCACCCCTCCTGACCATCTGTAAACAGCCAATGATCACTCTAAGTTCTTTGTTCCTTAATCCCAAGCTTGTCACAAGATTGGTGACAATGACGATGACCATGGATCAGCTTTAAACTGAGGCTTTGAGAAGTGAAAATGACCATAATACTGGAGCTACCTTAAATTCTGAAAGGGTTCAGTGTATGGACTTGACACCATATTGCCCAGTATATGGGAATCCCATATAAATAAACAAAATTTCAAACTCTCCAAAACTTTAAAGAGCTCCTTTCCTTCATAAGAAATTCTTCAATGAAAATTCGTTTCGTTTCCTAGCGTCCCATATGCAGTTGTTTTTCCATTGAATTTACCTTTTATATACACGAATGAATAGCGAGGTGCAGGACAGCTCAAAATAAAGAAGCAGGGAGCAGCGACAAATGTAGGAAGGCACAGAAATACCAAAGGATAAGAGAGGAAGATAGTTTTAGTCATATCTGTTGCTTCAAGCTCTCAGGGGACAAGGCTTTAAAACAAATAATGTCTCCCACTGGAGCTTCAGTAGCTCAAACCAGAAACCAGGCAACCATTTTAACCAAAGAGATCAACCAACTCCAGGATTGGAGGTTAATATCCTTTGAGGCTTTAACTCCCCGTGCAGCAAACCTTTAAAGACTGGGGGGAATAGCAGAATGTTCAGTGGTGAATTTTCTTCAGCTTTCTACATCTTCTCCACCTAGGGCTTTGGGGCACCCCATTTGTGAATACTTACTCCTCAGGGGGTAAGGCTTATTCCTGAGGAGACTATGATTTCCCTTCATCTCAACCCACGTTAAACCCCAATTTTATTTTATTTTTTATGAGGGGGGAGGGGAAGGACATTAAGGCTACTTTACTGAAAAATGATGGGGCAGTGAAATAACAGTAGTGGAAAGCAGGTAAATCTCTTTGAGCAAAAAAGTGCCTGGCTTCTCTGAAGGAATCCCTGTGGTCTGAATAAGGCCATTCTAAACCAAATTCATATTTTGCAGAGTGCACTATAAGTAGTCACATATCTGCAGTGTGGATTTCTAGCTTGCTATGTAGTCAACATCTCTTCAAGATAGATGGTAGCTGAATTTACTATCCNGAATCATAAGGTGCAACACTTAATGATAGTCATAGGGTACAAATAAGCAATCAGGAAACAATCAATATCAATATAAATTGTAAGGATACAAGCAACACAGTTATAGTCATGCAGTCATAGGTGGGAGGAGATGGGTGATAGGAACGATGAGAAGTAATAGTAATGTACCCTTAGTAAATGGTTTGACAGTGGTGAGGAAATTATTTGTTTAGCAGAGCAATGGTGTTCCGGAAAAAACTGTTCTTGTGTCTAATTGTTTTGATGTGCAGTGCTCTATGTCTGCCCAAAGGGGAGGAGACCAGCAGATAGAAAGCAATCCCCACCTTGTCAACAAATAATTTCCTCTAAAGAAGTAGTAGGGAGGAGAGGGCAAGAAGGACTTCTTACTTCTCCAAAGGACGAACCTGTATTATCTGACGCAGATTCAGAAGATAGCACAAGTTCGCATTCCCTAACTTCTGATTTAAAAAATAATATTTAATTAATGTTTTAATTAATTCTAAGCTATTGGTTTGAGCGGAAGCTCTGTTATCCGTGTCTCGATATGGATGCATGTTGATTCTATTATCTACACGCATGATACCATGAAGACAATGCAGTACTTGGCATTGCAACTAGCCACTCTCACATGCTCTACCTGCTAAGGCAATGTTTTTCAATGTTGATAAACTTTAAGAACTGACAGTGGTGGGATTCAAAAATGTTTACTACCGGTTCTGTGGGTGTGGTTTTGGTGGAGGTGGTGTGGCATGGTGGGCGTGGCAGGGGAAGGATACTGTAAAATTTCCTTCCAACTCCAGAGGAAGGATACTGCAAATTCCCTATTTCCTCCCTGGGACTCAGGAGGCGGAGAATAGATGGGGCGGGGCCAGTCAGAGGTGGTATTTACCGGTTCTCCAAACTACTCAAAATTTCCGCTAATATTTCTCTAGAACTGGTCAGAACCTGCTGAATACCACCTCTGACTGTGGACCTCAAAACCCAGAATATCTGTAGTCAGCATGTTGACTGGGGAATTCTGGGAGTTGAAGTTCAAACTTCTTAAAGTTGCCAAGGTTGAGAAATTCTGTCCTAAGGCAGACTTTGAACATTCCTTGACACGTTCTTGCAAGGTAATGATATATTAGTCACTCAGAAAATAAAATTGTTTATTCAGGAAGCTCAGAGTGCCCGAGGAACTGCTGATACAGTTATGTAGAGGAATTATTGAGTCTGTCATCTGCACCTCTATAAATGTCTGGTTTGGCACTGCAACAAATCCAAACAACACAGACTTATACAGATAATTAGAATTGCAGAAAAAACAATTGCTACCAATCCGCCTTCCATTGAGGACCTATATACTGCACAAGCCAGAAAGAGGGCTGTGAAAATATCTAGAGACCGCTCACATCCTAGACATAAACTGTTTCAACTTCTACACTCAAAATGACGCTATAGAGCACTAGTTGTTAGAACAACTAGACACAAGGACAGTTTCCCCCCCTATGCCATCACTCTGCTAAACAACTAATTTCCAAAATACTGTCAAACTATCTAAAAAGGCAGTATTACCATCATTATGTTCTTATGACTATAACTTCGTTGCTTGTAGCCTACGATTTAAATTGTTTGGTATCCATTACTATCATTAAGTGTTGTATCTAATGGTTTATGATGAATGTATTTTACAATGACTATGATAATGATCAGGGGTGGGTTGCTGCTGGTTTTACTTCTGGTTTGCAACCTGCGCGCAACACATGCTGCACACATGTGCACTGTTCAATGTAAATTGTTCTTTGCGCATGCACAGAACAATTTACAGTGAACTGCGCATGTGCAGTCACTAAAAACCAAAATGATGGCGGCCCAGCAGCAGTGAGGGAACCAGTTCAGGGGCGTGGCAGGCCTGGGTCACTGCCGGTTCTGCGACCCAGACCTGAATTCCACTACCGGTTTGGCTGAACCGACCTCTGATAATGATCTATCACTATTGTTGTATGTACATTGAGAGCTTATGCACTGAAGACAAATTCCTGTTTTTCTATAATCACATTTGTCCAATAAAGAATTCTATTTCTATTCTGAAAAAAATCAAAAATAGTTTATTCTGCTGTCTGAAATCACTTTACCATATAGTTAATAGATTAGGTTCTTTCTGGAAATTCTATTATTTTGGAAATGTAATTTGTAGTTATATAATATGCTATAACACCATAACATAGCATAACATCATGACATTATATATATATATATATATATATATATATATATATA